GCTCTCGGAGGAGCAAGACGCTTTTTCCTTCTCTCCTGCCCTTCCTCATCTTCCCTGCTTTGCTGCGCGGAGACTTCTCTACATTTTTCATCCGAAACTAGAAATTATGATATTTTTATGTTGATGGATTTGGTTAGCTGGCCTCTTAATAAATTTTTGGAACAAAGCTTTTTTTCCATGGGAGGACATGTCAAACTTCTGTTCTGCTCTGTTCTGGATATATATTTGGATTCTGATCACTGGATTCTACAGATTGGCTTGGTGGTCTCCGGGTGTTTCTACATAACAATGTTGGTGGCTATTCAGGCCCTTTCCTGGCTGCCTGACCAATATGAAGGATTGCCAATCTTTCAGCACCCAGACTTTTGCCTTGAGCGAGCTGGACTCTGTCTGAAAGCGGTTCTGCTGAGGGTTAAGGGCCGGCTGTGGTCCCTGGACTTTGCTGGCCAGATGGAATTGATCTTGGAGAAAGCTGATAGCTCGACTCGGCGGGATTGTCCACACTATTTGTCTGATTGGATTCGCCACCTTGAGATGTACCAGCGGACATTAAAGCAGATGGAAAATTGTTATTGTCTGCCTGGCTCAAAACATTCTCTTCTGTTCCCAAACAACTGATTACAGAATCTGGCTCTCTCCTACGTGGCCTTGAGCCGTTGGACTAAATTCTTCCTGGATGCTTACGTCGACTGAGGGTCTGCCCCTCACCTCCCCCACTCTCACTCCCGTCTGTGATCTGGCTCCTGGAGCAAGCTGAAGGCCGCACAGAATGAACAGTTACCATCAATATTCTGGACTATGGCTGCACTGGTTTTGGGGACTCGATTCTTCGGGCTCATTTTTCAGATATTCACACAAGCATACAACACTCATGGCTTCAGATACATGCCCCGCTAAACTCACTTACTCTGGCTAATAAATGTGCTCTATGCAAAGGTTTTTTAATAAACACCATAGTGTGTCACATTGTTGATTTGATGTTTTGTTTTATTTCCTCATATTCCCTTGTGTGGTTTTTAGTTTTTCTTTTAAGGGTTGCACCTCCTCATGATGTTTTCATGATGATGATCCTTGCTCTGTGCAGGGTCTGTGGAAGCATGACCCAGAGTACCTGTTCTCCTATGTTTGTTATGTTCTGTCTTCTTCTGAATGGGTGTTCTGAACTGTAATTTCATTGTGCTCTCTGTACGATGACAACAAAAGGTCTAATTTAATGTAATGTAATGTAATCTAATCTAATCTAATAAACACAATTACACTTGTCATTTTTCGATGCCATAAATAGAACAACAGGTTGTCAAAATCTGGTTGTCTGTAAAAATCTCAATAAAAATATAATTTAATAAGTAGACTGTATTGTTCTGTATACAAAGTTTACTATATAGAAATGTTCTCAGTCAGCAGGTTTCAGGAGCTGCTTGAGTAAAACTTCCTCCTCATCCTCTTCTTTGAAATAGAGAGCAAAAATCAACATCCAACATCATTTTCTGCTTACAGGTCAAACATTTTTATTTAAATAAGAGTACATTGTGTGCATGAACTTATTAAAGTTACACTTTAGTGTTCTTAGGACTAAAGACTTTCTGAGGAAAGAGGTTTTTAAACATCTCTTCTATCATTTTAGTGTTTTCAACTGAGGAGCTTTGATATATTTATTTAAAAAAATTATAGCAGAGGAAAAAAAAAATTTTTTTTACTGACAAGTATCTCCACTAAAATTAGCGTGTAATTTAAAGGCATTGAAACGTCTGGTTAAATTTAGAAAATATTATGATTAACTACAAACATCTGAAGCTGACTCAGAGAACTCTGTGATTTTAGAAAAAAAATAATTTAGTGATTATTAGATTGTCTAAACATGCAACTACTGAATTATTGTTGAATTCATGCACCAACTTAGATCTCTGGCTCGTTAAGTCTTTGTTGTAGTTTGGTCATGTCCAAAGTCCATCACAGAGACACACAAGCATTCAGTGCCTGCATAAAACTGAACAAAAACTAAAGTTTTGTTATAATCTTTGTCTCTCACCCCAGTAGGTGGTCCATCCAGCATCTTGGGTGTGTTCTGCAGTGATCTGTGCATCACGCTCGTCGTTCTCACTTCCATCAACTAGGAAAAAAGAAATCAAATTAAATACTATCTCCACGCTGAGAAAAGTTCCTCAGTGGGGTTAAGGAATGGGGAGCAGAGAGAGAGGAACTTGTTTTATCGTGAACTTTGACAAGTCCTCTCCAGTCTGACCCCTCTCTGGTTCAGGGATGAGACCCCTGCAGAGAGGGTCTAAAAAGATGTTCTGTATTATATGGATGAAAGTCAGATTTCACCTGGGAGCAATTCACCAATTCAGGACAGTTTTAGGGAAAAAATTAATGTAGATGACTAGAAGTTTTACAAATTATGAGAACTTGTAGGCGCGTCTCAATCTGATATCAATTGTGGATATTGGTTTGATATTAGCCAAAAAATGTATATGGGATTATATCGACCTGCATCGAAAATTTCTGATATTAGCACTTTGATACAAGAAATCCATCCAATAGTCCACTCAGGAGCAGTGTTTGGACCCAACATAGAAAACTTAAGTAACCTTGAAAAGTTATTTTACACTTTAAAAGTGTATAATATTACACTGGATTTATTGAGGTACATTGTCAGGGTTTTCTATTTTGTCTTTTATTTATTGTATTTAACTGTACAATATTCTTATGTTGAAGTTAAAAAATGATGTAACCCACTGGTTAGTAATAAATGGGACCAGTCTTTCTCGTACCTACTGTTTACTCTAGATTCCACTCTACAAAAAAAGTAATAAAAGTATAATTCATTCTAATATAGTTTTGGGTTGATATCAGTATTGTATCGGAAGAGAAAAAGTTGTATTGAGACACCTCTAAGGACTTGTGTAACCATTTTACATGTAAAGATTAAAGAGCTGAACTGATGCCTCAGTGCTGTAGCGGTGAGATTATTCAGCAGAGACACATATATTACATCATTATCATGTCATAAACAACTGAAAATGTAGGAAAAAGTTGTACAGAATTATTTTCATGGATGGACCAAAGCATTACAACTTGTTCAAAGACATGAGAAACTGCTGATGAGAACAAGTCGTTTTGGGAATTGCACTAAAGTAACCGAGACAAACTAATACTCAGATTGAACCACACAGGTGGACTCTTCTGAAGGCAGCTGTTTGCACTGGATCTTGGTTCAGATTTCAGAGTAAAGGAGAACATTACCTTTATTGTAAACCTGTAACTCTTCATCATCCTCTTCATCGTTTGATGGTTCTTCCCTGTGGTGAGTGACAGCTGTCCTGTGTGACCTTCTTTCCTGCTCGTAAACAAACACAGAAGCAGGAAGTGTTTTGAAGGAGACCAATTATGGGTCCTAGAAATGTTTATGGTATGTCTGTGGGCTATCCAGACCATGTTCATTCAATTTAATGCACAAAATAATTCTCAGATAATGAAATTTCCCATTTTCCAGTTCTGCCTGCTCTGACTTCCGTTCAGAAGAGCTGTTTATGTTAATGAGCTCTGTTGGTAACGCCCTCCAAAAATCTGTTGACATTAACTCCACCCTCCAAAGCCAGCGTTAGCATGGCTAATAATAGCAGAAGCTCCATTGTACAACCATATGAGACCCTGAGGCAGAGTCGTGGTCGCAGCTTCTTTTTTTCCCTCTCCCTCCTCTGCTCTGCGCTCACTCTGCATGCTGTTATCAGAGCAGGGAGCAGCAGCGGTCAAAATACCTCAGAAACTCGAACAAATAGGCTTTAACAAGGCTTTAATAAGCTAAATAATAGAGGTACATGAGAAAACGTGTTCATAATGAATGAAAATAAATAATTAAATTGTGCCCATGCTGGTCTCAAACCCTGGTCTCCCACTCTCTGGTCCAACACTCTACCCGTTGCCCTATTGGAGGCTTGTTGTGAAATGAGCTGCTCAACAACACCGTGACGGCTTTTTATACTGAGGAGGTGGAGCCTCACCCAGGGGTTGCTAGGTGAGGGGCTGAACGCAGGTTCGGGTGGGTTGTCGTACGGCTTGTGACATCACAAAATGTAGGAAGTATAAAACTTGTCGTTAATATACATTAAAAATACATTTACTTACAGTAAATATGCCCCTGGGTGCATTTTTTTTGGTCCTAGGACTGTTTTTTTTAAGAAGTACATACCCAAAGTTGAGTAAAAAAAAAAACTTTAAAAAGTGAATTTTGCATAACAGTTCCCCTTTAATCACTAACTGGTACCAGGAGCAGCTGGATGCTCCACAGAAACCCTGCTGACAACACAACAGTCTCATTTACCTCTTTCCTCTGAGCAGAGGAGCTGACAAAACACAACGGAAGACCCATTTCAGCCATTAACTGAGATTCTTCATCCAAAACCTCCTCCTCCTCTTCTTCTGACTCTGTCAATTCAGAACATTTTTTATTAAACTCTTTTAGACTTATTTAAAAGTAAGTGAGGAAGACTATTTATGAAGGACACACGTTATTCTTCAGGTTCAGGCCTTCCTTCTAAAAAGTGATCTGTGATCTTATGAGATTTGCCAGGTTAAATAAAGGTTAAATTAAAAACTATAATAAAGATAGAACATGGTGAGGATTTCAGTACCTTGGACTTCAGTGTGTGGTCTGTGAGAGGGAAGCAGTCTGTTATCAGAGCAGTACAACTCTCTGTCTCTGTCCAAAGACAAAAAGAAACACAATGAAGACAGCTCTGAGCACACACACACACAAAATAGTTTATTTTTGTATCCTCGTTGGGATCGTGGATTGACTTCCATTCATTTTCTATAAGTTTATATCCTAACCCTGACCATTTACCCTCAAATTAACCTCACAGGTACCTGACTCTAAAACTAACCTAAACTTAAGTCCCACGTTGGTCCTAAACATAACCCCCCACCCACCCAAAATTAGCATCCGTACCTGCTTTGTTCTGGAAAATGGTTCCCATGATGTAGCAAAAATGTGCCCACACACAAACACACAGCATAAAACCTGTACACACTTTTAAAATATCAGGTTTTATGATGTAAAAAAATACCACCATTATAAATCATTTGTAAACATTACCCTCCTCCCACTTAATGTGTTTCTTGTACAACTCATATGAAAGAACAATTGTCAGAGGGAAATATATGAAAAATATAAAAAGATGCAATAAGCTGGATCTATTAGTCTGTGCACTCTTTAACTAATACAATGTGGAGTTAATTCCAGCTTTTGTTCCTAATAGAGCTGTGTATTGGCAAGAATTTGGCGATACGATACATATCATGACAGAGGAGTCACGATACGATATATCCCGATATATGTATTGCGATACTATAAGCAAGACGATATATCGTGATATATTGCGATTTTTTTTGTCCAAAAATTCTATTAAATAAAAACCTCTTTCAGTGGAAAAAATGAAAAACTAAAATTCATTGCCTCAAAAAATTCTAATATTATAGAGACATACTTTTGATGCATTTAGCTGTGCTCTGCTTTGTATG